CTGCAAAAAAAACTTGCTCAACTGCCTGCAGTTGACATGCAGCATGCTCCAGCCAAGCTGCTATCCAAACCCCACAAGATTGCATATGTAGATTTTTTGGCACAGTGACTGTGCATCAAAGTTTGGTTGAATCACTCTTGGAGAATGGTTAGAGTAACAACAGAAGCTTCCTGAGACTTTCTGCATGTCAAATTCAGGCATTTGAGCAATTTATGTTTGCAGTGTATAAGATTTATCTGATAGGGATTTTGGTTTCAGCTCATAAAAAAATCTTCATTTGTTTTAAAGAAAAAGGAAAACAAAACCTTTTTATCTATACTTTCTTATTTCTTTCAATATTTTAAATGAGATTATATATATTAAAGGCTCAATTGGACCACAGTAGTGTATTAGGGGTTTCAAATTTGAAACCCCACATGTCCAAGCTTTCATCGCAAGACAAATTTTGTGGGGTGATTTTAGGAAAGTTTTTAATGCTAAAAATGCTTCCATGAATGCTTGAATTGGCAGGCAACGCATGTCATCTTTCCTCAATCTCACCCCACATCAACTCATCTTACCTCAGCTTGTTCCCACAAGCAACCCACTTATACAACCCCCACAACCCCAGCCCCCAAACCTTCCCCAAAGAAAAAAATCAAATAAGAAGAAAGCTATTCTGGGGATTGAAACAGTGTTGAAGGCAGTGGCAGTGTAGATTTTTCTTGCTTGGCTCACCTCCAAATACAACTACCAAAGATGGTGAGGGGATCTCAAAGAACAAAAAGAAAAGAATTTTTTTTGCTCAGATATTATCAAAGTCATGAAAAAATGAGATCATCTTTGAGATGCAAAAGGCTAATAAAGAAAAATAAAATTCATAAATCAAATCAAATCCACTTTGCCAACTCTTTTCTTTCTTTTTTATAGGTATCAGTGATCACTCAGAAAATAATTTGTCTTCAGTCCTTTTATAGCACTAATCATGACTGGAAGAGGAACACTGGAGCTTGAGTAATTGAAGCTGATGAATTCAATTGTGTATAGAATTTTAATTTCCAGTCATAATAAGTCACATCTTGATCTAGCAGCACAGAATGATTAATATGTTCTCAGATCAAGTTCATTTATAGTTTTGGTACTGGGGACTTCTTGATCCCATCATGGGATCAAGGTTTTTTGATGTGCCTCTTCACACCAAATCTTTGTTTTCAGTTCCCAATCAAGAAAATAAGCCAGAAAAACAAACAAGTAGTATGTCAACCAATGATATTTTGAACATACCAAGCAGTGTCCCAGAGGAATCTAATTCAGATATTGAGGCAGGAGAAATCACAACAACCCTGATTGATACTACCTCCGGCTCAGCTCCTACCTCCTCAACTCTGCTCAAAAGAAAAAGAAAAGATCAAGTACAACAAAGGGTGGAAAAAAATGTCAGAATTTTAATCTGAGCACACTCTCATGCTATTTTTCTTACCCTCTTCCTCACCCTCATCACACACAACCTCTACCTGTTTTCCAGTCAAATGTTCCTGTTCGCTGTACCTGTCCCAGTTCCAGTACCTGTCCCTGTTCCATTACCTGTCCCTGTTACCTGTACCTGTCCAAGTTCCCCAATTCCTTTTCCTGTCCCCAGTACCTGTTCCTGTTCCTGTAACCTGTCTTATTATGTTAATGTTCACTGTCTAGGCCCCCTCTGGATCTTGGAAGGGGGGCTCTCTAGTTGTGTCTATGTAAGTCTGCTCCTTGTGTATGAAATGAATCATTGAGTCTGAGCACCTTTTTAGAGAAAGTTCCCCTCAAGAAAAATCGGCTCCTCTTTCAACCAAGACCCCTTCTGAAATCCTAACAAAAGAAAATATAAATCAAAACCTGAGGAATTCTACATGAAGTTGGTGATCAAAAAGATGCAGGCAGGAATAAAAAAGGCTCAAGCTTCCACAACCAAAGCAAAATAAGTTAAATGGGAGAGCCAAGGGAGATTGGTCTCCAGTTTGATGAAATTAGTCAATCAAGAGTTCCCCCAGTCCCCAAAATTCTTTGTGCCCCTGAATCAGAAGATGCCAACTCTGATTCTGATTAGTTATAGTAGAGCTTTCTTTTTCAAATTCCCATTCCAAACTTGCAATAAACAATTAAATGAAACCAGAAAATCACCAAAAAAGCATAACTGAGAAAAGAAAACTAACAACAATCAGACCAAAAAAAAAAATAGATCAGAAAGAAAAACAACCTAAGGATGAGAGTATAATCTTAAGAAAGCCCAAGATAAAACTGATCTTGGACTTTTTTTACCCAAAATCTTTTAGCCCTGACATGGTTGTTCATTGTTATCAGGTGAAGCAATCTAATCAATTGTGGGAGATTTGTCTCAGTTATGGAGGACCACACAGGCATCAACACATTTGGTGATCCTCTCCATTTTTTCCACTGAGGAGAGCTCCATTTGAAGGACTCTGAGTGATTTGAAACTTCCCTTAAGTATTCCAATACATTCCTCATCACAGATTTGAAGGCTTGCAAGGTCTTGGTTGAATTTCTTTCTTAATTGT